ATATCCACATTGGCCTTGAAACGAGTTGTACCTGTTCCAAGCGATATCGATATTGCAACTTCACAAACACCTAAACATATTAAAGTTCTGGCTGAAGAATTGGGACTGACCCCGAATGAGGTAAGACTTTTATTATATTAAAAAATCATTCGTATTGTAATCATGTATTAAATTGGCCCTTTTTAGTTTGACTTATATGGGCAATACAAAGCCAAAGTAAGTCTTTCAGTTATTGAAAGATTGAAATCGCGAAAAAATGGCAAATATGTTGTTGTAACAGGGTATGTGTTTGGAAATTGCAAGTTATCTCACTTTATAAAGTTTAGTTGTTAATATCATTAATTATATTATTGAAATGTTTGCAGAATAACGCCAACACCATTAGGTGAAGGCAAATCTACAACTACCGTTGGTATAGCACAAGCATTGGGTGCGCACTTGGGAAAGCTTTCATTTGCATGTGTTAGGCAACCTTCACAAGGACCGACATTTGGCATCAAAGGAGGAGCAGCTGGTGGTGGATATGCTCAAGTCATTCCAATGGACGAATTCAATTTACATTTAACAGGAGATATACATGCTGTTACCGCAGCAAACAACCTGTTAGGTAATTTTATGCTTATGTTACCCATGTCTATTTTACAACTAAATTTAACGAATTCTAGTTCTTTTTAGCCGCTGCAATTGACGCACGGATGTTTCATGAAAATACCCAGAAAGATAAAGTAATATAAAAATTAATTTGTGTATTGAATTTGACAATTTACCTTTTTCTTTTTTAATATTTATATATTCCATTATTTAGGCTCTTTTCAATCGCTTATGCCCAGCTAAAAATGGTATTCGTGTCTTTGCCCCTGTAATGTTGAAGCGATTACAAAAGCTTGGAATTGATAAGACCGATCCTAATGATTTAACCTCTGAAGAGATTAGCAAGTTTGTTAGGCTAGACATTGACCCTGAGACTATTACATGGTTTGTTATATAAATATTTATATACATTATTGTCCGAAGGACATTATAGGCAGAGGTATAGAGCAGAATTTCGCAAATTGCTGATTTTGATTGGTTGATCGGACTGATTCCTTAGTTTAATTAGCCAATCAAATTCCTTCGGATTTTAAATGTCTTCCACTTATCTAATACTATATTGATTGGATACTAAAATGATATAGGCAAAGAGTAATTGACACAAATGATCGATTCTTACGACGCATTACTATAGGACAAAATTCCACAGAAAAAGGTCAAACGCGTTCGACAGGGTTTGACATTTCGGTTGCCTCCGAATGTATGGCAGTGCTCGCATTAAGTACGTCTCTTGAAGACTTGCGAGAAAGATTGGGTAGAATGGTAGTGGCTACGAATAAAGCTGGTGATTCTTCTATAACTGCAGATGACCTTGGTATAGGAGGTGCATTAGCAGTATTAATGAAAGATGCGATCAAACCAAACCTTATGCAGACGTTAGAAGGAACACCCGTGTTTGTCCATGCTGGTCCATTTGCAAATATTGCACACGGAAATAGTTCTATATTAGCAGATAAGATTGCACTTAAATTGGCGGGAGTTGAGTGCGATGCGGAAGGGAATCCAGTGGAAGGAAGCGAAGAAGGTTATGTGATAACAGAAGCAGGATTTGGGGCTGATATTGGAATGGAAAAATTCTTCAATATCAAATGCAGACTATCAGGGTTGATACCTGATTGTGTTGTTATAGTTTCTACAGTTAGAGCTTTGAAAATGCATGGTGGTGGGCCTGAAGTGAGTACTGTAAATATATATTTTGATTTAGAAGTACCTTATAGCACACTTAGTACTTCTGGTATATATATATATATATTATATATATATATATATTTAGGTTACATTACTAATATAGTACTATAATGAGCGCTATACGGTGATATGTTAATAGAGTACATATTGATATTGTAAATTTTTATTTTTG